TCACAACGAGCACACAGTATCTTCTGTTTTTGCATTTTAAAGTTCAAAAACTTCAAATTTTTGGACAGAAAAATTGTACCCGGGATTTTCGGGATCGGGGAATCGATTCACAGTGTTAGTTTTCATGTTTTTCTTCTCCCAAATCAATGATTTCAATACATTTCCTAGTGAAGGAATATAAGGTCTAAGATTTGAGAAACTCGATTCATGAAAAGAGCTCTTGGAAAAGCTGTTGTTTAGCTTTTCTGCTGAAAAGCTTTTCGAGAGGTGTTTGAAAAAGTTTAAATTGGAAAACATAAGCTACAAAGAAGAGATGAGATATTGCTTGAGAAGTTAGAAGCATCCTTCACCTAGAAGCAAACCTGTTAATATCGTGTTGACTTCAAATGTTATTACCATTTCCCATTTCAAATTTTCAGATGCCATGGAAGTCATTGGAATTTTAATCTCACTTTTGCTTGTTTGACCCTGGTTCAGATCCGGTTGCGAAATTTTTATTGCTTACTCGGCAAATTTTTATTGCTAGGCCTTTCAAAATACTTTTTTATTAGGGTGGTGCAAAAGAAACTGCCGACGGGTATCAGCTCTCATTTATCAGAAACAAGCGATGCTAACGGCATTATTTCTTTTATGTTTTGTTCGCATATTTGTTTGCTATTTATTTCGACATTTGAATTTTTTGGTTGTTGTTTATTTTATTTAAAAATGCTTATATTTTTTATTTAGATCATGGTCGAGCAAAAGTTTGTGCTACGAGCAGCATTACTGTTTAACTTCAAAATTGGAGAGTCTGCTGCCGAATCGTTCTCTCTGTGCTGCTTTCGGAGATGGCAGTTTGTCCCTCAGGCAGTGTCAGCCTTGGTTTCAACGATTCCGAAAGGGAGACGAGACTTTGGAAGATTACGAGCACGGTTCGAGGCCAGAAGTCGTGAACGAAGCCAAGCTGAGGGACTTTATCCAGGTCGATCCATGCCAATCTGCTCGAGAGCTTGCGAAAATATTCATGTCACCATCGAACGCCATTTTTTTTTAAATTTACCGTCAAATCGGCAGTTTCTTTTGCACCACCCTAATATTTTTCAAGTCTAGAGGCCATTTGAGTATTAGTCGAAGATACATCGTTTAGAGAGTGCTTTAATTGTACTTTAATTTAATTGTACGAAGTACTTTTGATTTTATTTTTCGCGGTCAGAGACAGCAATAGGTATAAGATTCGGAAAAGTGGGGGAAAATGGTTATCAATCAAGCACGGATAAGATTTAGTTGAACCCGATAGCTGGCTTTACATGAGAAAAAAATCGAATAGAGAAAGTTGAGGCAAAAACGGCCAAGGTAAAGAAAAATGAAACTTATAATGAACAAGATGATAAACACTTCTGTTTTTGCGTTTTGCTGTTGCATGAAATTTGTATCCTACTCACTTATTTTCAGAGATTGCTTTCTTGCCTTGATTTAGAATCTATTTTGTTTGACTGAATAAATGAATTCAAACAGAGCTTTACTTGAGTTTTCAATTGTTTTTTTGTTGATTTTGGATATATTTATTTGCGAGAAATGATTTAAGGCTTCATTTTAGGGGCATTCATCAAAGCAGGCGCCACACTGAAACATTATTTTTTCGGTTAGCTAAATTTTGCTTACTTTGGCAATTTTACAAAGGGGTGCATCGATTGGAAGTGTACAACAAGTCTGAAATGTTTTTGGTAAGCTAAAACTTTGAAAACTTTATGCTTTTGCCTTCAATGAATGATTGGTTTCTTAAAATAAGCAAATTTCTGCCGATGTATGAACTGCCGCGATTCTGGCAAGAATGGAGTTTTTTATATCCAAATTTTTCATGCTAATATGACTTTTGAAAGCTTTAGCCTCGTTGTAGCTATTGTTAATTTAAAAAACTGTTAAAAAGACAAACTTGTCCATCAGAACATTGATCATCGGTGATACAAGCGTGCGTCGGAGCACCAGTTTGAGCACTCTAAACAGAATAACAAATAATTGACTCACTTTAGCATAAAACAAACTCACCGAGAATCCAAAAAGAACCATTGAGAAGAATAAAACGAAGAAAAGACCAAAACGCATGTTTTTTATTGATTTCGGTGTATGATTACCGCTTATTTAACTCAAATTCACTTTGCTTTTATACCCAATGAAAGCTTTTGAAATGCACTTTTATCAACATTTTTTAGAAAGCGAAAAGCTCATGCTAAACAGAAAATATTTTGTAATATTCTAGCTTTTAAAATATGTAAAAAAATATGAAAAAAACACAGGATGACGACAAAATATTTTCAAATTTATCCATTAAATCTTTAAAAATATTTTTGAGAGGATATTTTGTTGTTTTTGTCTATTGTCCCCATTCAACTTCCCAATCCATTCAAACTGATTTATATTCCGAAAAACATTTTCTATTAGTATAAAGATTTCCTTTTCGATATACATCTGAATGTGTGCACTTTAACTTTAAAATGAACTTGGATATAAAAAAGAGGGTGATTTTTTTGAGGTAACCATTCCGTAAAGCAACAAAAAATGCGTTTTGGGCTTTTCTTCGTTCTTTTCTTCACCATTCGCCTCATGGAAACGTTACTCTCTTTCTCGAAGCAACTCACAAGCCTCTTCCATGGACAACATCAAATATCAGACTGTGTAAGCCAAGCAATCAGTACTAATCAGTACTAGTTATTCCGTTAAATTACCGTACTTTCATGCTAATGATTATAGACGAGATTACTATAATTTTTGCCCTCTTTTACCCACGCCTACTGTGTATTTGCACTTAAAGGTTATTGTGCTTCCCGTTTTTTTTAAGAAAACTTGTTTGTTTCCCCAATTTCGGGTACTTTTTCCGGTTCATTTGGCTAGCGCGTTTAGGTTAATACATTTCTAAGAATATTTATGTACTTTTTATAATAAATTTATTTCCTACCGGTGGTCATTTTGTGTTATCTTATTGCATTTTCGGAAATATGATTAGCTGTGTGAATTGTGTGTGTGCGAACAATTTTATGCAAATGAGCTTTAATGTCGAGTTTACTCTGTTAAATTTTCGAAAATTTTGTGTGTTTGCATTTGTTTGTTCTCTTTTTCGTTTTGCTTTTGAAATCACTGATCTCCTGGCATTTTCTTTGAAATTCTTTCAGCAGATGTCTATCGTTTTCTCGTTCGTTTTTTTTACACAAAGTTATGCTTTAAGAGTGAAATTTTTCGTTGTAAATTTACAAGAAATGAATTGTGTTTATCTAAAAAAAAAAATTGCCTTTGGATTAGCCGTAAAATTGTTTTAAACAATATTTAGAAAACAAATCTCTGTATTATTCAATTTCAGACTGCTCTTTCAGACAATTTCAGACTTTAATTTTCAGGACTATTATTAAACTAACTGAATCATTGTTTAGATTCATTGTTGGATCTGGAGCGATCGGATGTGAGTTACTCAAGAACCTTACAATGGTGGGTGACGCTTGTGGAAAAAATGGTTGGTATTAGGCTGTCCAGAAAGTCTTTTCGTTCCTTTCTCTGTTCCTTTTCGTTAAAAATAACAAATTCACCAATTAATCTATGATTTGATCTAAATAAAAAGTTTTATTGCTCAATTTCTCATCTTTTTAACTCGATTTCGGTTCACTTTTAAGCAAATTCCAGAGTAAAAACGTTTTTTTTTGCAAAAATCTATAAAAACCTCTACGAAGAAATTGGCTGAATGAATTTCTCTGAAAATTTGGCTATATTCCTAACTTTTTATGCTCTAGCTTTTATCTATTGACGCCAAGATAGGTTTTCTTAGCCAAAGTGTCTAAATCGCATCATCGAGTCGCACTTTTGACTACCCGACTTCATGCTCTCAAAAGAAATTCAAAAATAAGAGATTTTAAACCCGTTTTAGTCTTATTTTACAGAAAAATAACACGTTTTTTTAATGAAATAAACTAGTTCAATTGGTGCATTTGTTAATTTTAAACAGAAGTACGAAAAGGAACGAAAGCCTAATAGATTAGGGCTGTTGAGAGGAAAAAGCAAGTAACCTTTTAATCAATATTTTACAACACTATTCCCATTCAAATACAAACCTTTTTTTTTGATCTGTCTTCGCACTTAGGTTTTCCTATTTGCGCAGATCACAACCTGCTTCCATATTTCTCTATCCCTTGCTATTGTCATCCAGTGTTTCCTATCTTGATTGTTCCTGGTTCGAAGTCTTCGATTTGCTTGTGCTGGTGGTAGTTGCACTCTAGCCATCCTGTCTCTGCCACTCTTGTGCTCCACCTTGTTGCTGGTCTTCCGATGGGCCTCTTCTGATCTCGTGGTAGCCACTCTGTAATCCGTAACGTCCATCTGTCATCTGTTCTTTTGGCCACGTGGCCGGCCCATCTGAGTCTTTTTTCTCGATCACTTCCACTGGATCTCTGGGTCCCGAGAGCTGGCGCATATCCGTACTTCTTAGGTATTGGTCGAGCTGCGTCTTCCTATTGTGCCCGAGGAGGTTTCTTTCAAGGGCTCGATGCGTCGTTCTCAGGGCTCGTTCGGTGAAAACAAACCTTTTACACCTAAGTCTCAATCATTTCTCCCTTTACAATTTAGGGCTCATCAAGCTCACGGATATGGATCAAATTGAGACGAGTAATTTGAATAGACAATTCCTTTTCCGAAGAGCTGATGTTGGGGTTTGACAAATAGACAGATTCGGATTGATAGAATCTTAGCAAAAAAGTCAGTGTGTGCTGCTCGAGCGGTTAAAGCTTTCTATCCAGCGGTAAATATTGAGGTGAGATTTTGAGAAGACCAAACTTTCTTAGACTTTTTATTTGCATTTTCTAGATTTCTTAGACATCTCAGACAATTTCTAAGACAATTTCTTAATTTCCCACTTCTTAGACATCTATTTTACAGAAATTTCCATTTTCTCAAAGTTGAAATAAGACTTTGCTAGTGTGGCCAGTTGCTTGTCAAGTTTCTGCTCAAGTTGACATTAAAGCAAGAAACAAAGCGTTTACGCGATGTCCGGGCGAGTCTGCCCAGAGACTGAACCAATTTTCAACGACGAGTTCTTTGGCGGACTTCATTGTGTACTAAATGCTATCGATAATGTGGAAGCAAGAAGATATGTGGATCAACAATGTGTCTTCTTTGGACTCCCGTTATTGGAATCTGGAACTCTTGGAACAAAAGGGAATGTGCAAGTGGTCTATCCTCATCTCACCGAGTCTTACTCGTAAGTGTAACAAATGAAAAAGTATCAGTGAATATAAAATGTGTTGTTTTTTTAGAATCACTGGAAAATCCCCATCGACAATCGTTCATCAAATTGCACAAGCGAGGAGCCTCGGCGCCGGAGATTCATAAGCTTCTTAAAGTCGGCAGAAGTGTCATTTTCCGCACTATTCAACGCTACGAAGCTACGGGAACAACTGCTGATGCACCAAGAAGCGGTAGACGCCCAAATGTCGTCACAAAGACAAACATCAAGCGAGTGGGGGATCGATTTCGGAAGGCTTAGGCTTAGGAAAGGAATGAAGAAGGAAAAAGGAAAAAAAAGGACGAAGCCAAACCAGTCGGCAACGTAAATGGAAAAGAAGATGGCGATTTCAAGCACCTCATTGCGTCGGATCCTCAAAAATAAGCTCAAACTTACTGCCTACAAGAAAAACAAGGCTAAATTTCTTTCGAGCGCCGCCAAAAAACAAGCGGAAATTGAGAGCAGGTCAATTATTGATGCGCTTCAATGGAATCAACCATCACAATATCTTGTTCAAAATGAAAAGATTGTTTTCCAGTGTGGTCCTTCTAGGCCTAAGCCTAGAAGCCAAAGCTTATTTAAAGCCCCACAAAAACACCGAAAGTTTGAAGAAATCACTGTTGAAAGCGTGGGAAGAGCTCGACCCAGCCTATTTGGTCGCCACCGTTGACGCCTTCCCAAAGCGCCTGCGAGTCTGCTCAAATGCTTAATCAAAAATTAAGCAAAGTCGAAATTCTAGTGGTGCAAGGGGCAAAACTACTACGGAAACTATCAAATGGGGTGAGCCTTGCAGGTGGGCTTTTTTTGTGAGGAAAAGTAGCAAAAAAACTTTGATAATAAATGAAAAAAGCAAACAAAACGCGAAAAAAAACAGTAATGATAAGCTAGTTGAGTTCAATGTTTTGGTTTTTGGTGCTCGAGAGGCTGAACGGCCAAAATTGAATCTGGTTCAGGTCGTGATGTTGAAGTTCATTTTGTCGTTGCAAGAGAGAATCGATTCCTTTTTTCAAGAGTTGAATAGAGATCAAGCGCCGAACAATAAAGAGATTTTAAAATCCAGATATTAGCTCCGCAAAAAATTTTCCAATTTTGCATAGCTGAATGAAAGGATTGGCGAGGGCGTGAACTTGAACCTAAAGCTGTTGACAAAGGATCAAAAACTATAGGGGAACGGGGTGAAAAGAACGAGCTGAACTCCTCAATAACCCCCAATATAAAAGCAGTAGTTAAAGCTGTAAAAAGCTGTGAAAAGCACATTCATTTGTCACATCCAGCGACAGCAATGAGATCCGTTCTCGGGCTTCTTCTCTGTGTTTCAGGTACATTTTTGGTTTTGGATAATTTTACTCAATTAGCCGCAAAGATTAGTCAATGAGATTTTTATATTTTATATTCTATATCCCAGCATGTCAAAATTAACATTAAAACTTTATAATTTTTCCTTTTTAGCTGCCTCAGCTCAAGCCGCAATGGCATTTGCTGCAGCCGACCAAACAACCATTGTCAATGTACGTAATTTTCCTTTAAAATTGAAGTTTTTTATATTTTAACGGCTTTTATATCTATATTTTATATTTTATATTTAAAATTTTTATAAACCTTCTTAAATCTACAGCTTTTTAGACAATGAACAGTCTGCGTTCACGGATGGCGAAAGGAACGGAGAAATGGGTTGGGAAAGGGAAAAACTATCCACAATCGATTCGAACTTATCAATTGGTTGGTGGATTAGCAAAATTTAAATCAAATTAAACATTGTTTAATCAAATTAACATCAAATTCTTTTCCAACTTCAGTCATGGGCGGCCGGATTGGCCACCGCTTCTGTGGCTCGTCTCAATTTGTTGGATCCTAGTCAACCGTGGGTAAAAAACCACATAGCTGTAGCAATTTAACTGTGACATTAGTTAACATTATTCATTTCAGATTGAGTGCTCAAAGTGATGTGTTGAAGGCCTCCGATGTACCGTTTCATCAAGGCGAAACCCATTACGGTATCTATAGCACCAGCTCAAACGCGAAGACGGCCGCTCAAATGTGTGAGGGATAGTTTACTCCGTCCTTAAACAAATCTTACTATTAAACTCTTATCTTCTTACCTAAAAATGCCACTAATTCAATTCCATTTCCAGTTGGTACCGCGTGGAATACCGCCTGGTACAATTTCATCAAGAAATCCGGTCTCCCTGGCCCGGGTCTCGTTTACAATTCAACTGGCGCGCACCCCGACAAGAATAAAAACTTTGCTTATCAGGTGATCCAAGTTTCCAAAGCTGGATTTTTCTTAACCAAAACTTTAGAAAAAGTATTTTTCCAGATTGCCGCCGGCCAGACTCGGACTATCGGTTGTGCGTATCGCAATTTCACAACTGGAGCCGCTGCTGGGACATTCGCTGTGCTTTGTCGTCACAATGCTAGGTTTGTTTTGATAGAACTGAAAAAGTTTTCGTTCTGGCTACAGAGCTGACATGGAGATTTGGCCTCAAGTGTATTAGATTATCAAGTTTTTCTGGCAAGCTAAAAGAACCAACAGAGTACTTGAAAAAACGACACTATGGATTGAAGTTTATAGAACGACTCAATTTCTTTTCGTTTTAGAGGTCTCTTCGACGGTAACCCTATTTACCCGGAAGGTGTCACTTGTAGTGGATGTGCCAAAGGGAATCCACCAGCTACAGTATGTGTCACTGCCACTGGTCTTTGTGCCTAAATTCTTAAAGTTAAACAGTTATGATATCGTTAATAAACTTTTGATTTTCGTGCGAATGTGGATGCTTGCTTTACGAGAAAGAAAACAAAAACCACAAAAAATTGAGTGTGATCAACGAGATTCAGTTCTGTGTAAGCGATCATTTTCGAGAGTAAAAGGAATTTTTGCAATAACTATCAAGAAATTTGATTTCTGGGAAAAGATTAACGCAAAACTCATTGAATTTCAGTAATTGCGAGAGAATACGCTTCTAGAAAATTGAATTTTCGACTACGTTCTCTAGTAGATTGAAAAATAGATTGAAAATAACATTAAATATGAAATTGCTAGATGAAAAAGATTGAAAACAGTATGCGCTTTACTTTAAAACGGTCGTTTACTCGAACTTTTATGTTTACTCGTTTTCGGCGTTTAGCGAAAGAGAAGCGAAAAGACGTCTCGTGTCGAAAAGCTTCTAATAGTCCAGGCGATTAGGATAAAGGCATCTAAATCCTTTTTTCACTGATGATCTCAATGTCTTCTATGATTCTTATCAGCTCAATTATCTTCCCGTTTGCCAATTTGATCATGAACATTTTCTTTGGCTTCAATTTCGGCTACACGATGATCTCTATGGGGAAGCTATTCTTGAATTTTCTCTTCTTTTTCATTTCATTTCATAACCAGTTTCATTCCAACAATTTCTATGTAGGTTTCAAATCCAGTGTGCTTTCTATTCTTTTTCTACAAAACCAAAAAAAGGGAGCGGATACACAAATCACTATAGCAAATAGCATCAGTGAAGGATAAAGAGGAATAAAAGTTGATCTATCATATTTCAAAATTTGAATTTTTCTTTATAATAAACTTTTTTTATAAATTTTAAGCTCATAAATTTATTACAATTTTTTGGTGTATAGTTTCCTCCTTTTCAATAAATTTTATACAATATTTTGCATGTGTAAATAGCAGTACTTTTGTTTAAAATCCTTAATGACAAAGTTTCCTCATCAAGTCAACGAACTAATGTTTATATTGATTGAAATCCGGTCTCGATGGCTCATCTGGGTGATACTCTTTGAAGCTGGGATGACCATTCTCTGGATTATATACAAAGAACGGACGAGGCTCGGCAAGCTTCTCTGGATGATATTGATCAAAGTGCGGTCGAGCCTCGGCAAGCTTCTCTGGATGATAATCACCGTATCTAGGACGAGCCTCTTTGAGATCTTTTGGGTGATACTCATTGAAATCGGGGCGAGCACCGGCCATCTCGTCTGCTAAATCGAGGGCATAGTTAGAGTAAAGATGGGCTAGTTTTGATTTTTAGATAAAAAGTTAAACATTTTTCACAAAAGCTTACCCGCTACAGCCAAGGCCAAGAGAAGAACGGTGAATAGAACAGGAAAAGACTTCATTTTGTGAAATGTCAGTCGTTCTTCTTGTTCTTCAGCTTTTATACTGCACAAGTGCTCAAAAACAAGTAGCTTTATCAGCTGTTTACCCCATCTTTTGATTAATGCAATCTATTTGAAACCGTAAAAATAGAAAAAAACGTAAATAACATTGATAAGAGTTTTTTTGGAAGCCGGGAGTGTCAAAAATTGTTTATTTAGATCTTAAAAATTTAGATAGACATTGTGAGAAACAAGTGAGCGTTTTTGTTTCAAATCAATTCAAATTCCAATATATAATGTAAGCAATCAAGAAAAACCTGTGCATCTTTAGCTTGATGTAATGTATAATGTAAAATGTAAAGGGCTTTTAGATGGTAAACATTGAACAAAGGACCAGCTTCATCAACTTCTTTTGGCTTATAATTGTTGAACCAGGAACATGCGTTAAAACCTTTTTATGCAGTCATATCTCCTTTCGGATATCCGTTGAACCAAGGGCGAGCTCTTCTTGTGGTCACCAACGCCTTCCTGTAGTCATTAAACCATGGACGAGCTTCATCACCTTCATCGCATAGCTTTGGACAATTCTTTTTTGATAATCATTGAACCAAGGACAACCAAGAATCTTTTGAGCAGCTATATCATCTTTTGACTGATAGTCGAAGACGAAACATCGCCATTTCATCAGCTAGATTTCGAGTTTTATAGTTGAGAGAAATGGAAAATCCCTTTAGATCGGCTTTAAAAAGAACTGTTTTTCATTTTAGATCATCAATTTTTTAAAAGCCTTATCAATAGTGGGAAAAATTAGATGATCCGTTAACGTGTCATTTTTCAGTTAAAAGCTAACCTTTAATTTTTTGGGTCTAACTTCTTTGCTCAAGATCTTTGAGTAAAAGTTAAGTTTAATTTCTTACAAAAAAATCCTAATTTTGGAGTTTTTGAAACAAAAACAGACAGTATTGATAAGACTTTGAACCGCTGTTTACATTAAAAGCAAAAATGATGGTTTATAATAACCACACCGTTGAACTTTTAACCAAAAAAAAACGGAAGTGTTTATGTGAAAAGATTTAGATAAGAAATAAAGAAAACAAGTGCTGGTTTTTGACTCAAATGGATTGAGCTGATAAGATTGGTTCATTACAATTAGCTTTTTCGAATGACTACGAAGAATTGGATTGTTGCTCTGCTTTGGGTACAGGTAGCTTCTCAACAGTTGAACCCTCAATGTGCCGATATTCTGAAATTAGCTGGAGCTAGCGAGAAATTCGGAAACTCTGTTGGTCATGCGATTCACTCGATCAATGTGAGAGCATTGAGGAGATTCGATCCATTGGTGACTGAAAAGAATCGAGTACCGACGATGAACATGGACTTGAGCTCTGAACAGGTTCTCCTCTCCTATGCTCCTGATACTCGTGGCTTCGACAAGGGAGCTTTTCATTCGACTGGAATGAAAGTTTTGGATGAGGTGTGTTTGATTAATACTGTTAACAATAAGCAATTCATGCACGACTTCCAAATAAGCCATTTACACTACAAAGTAGACTTGAAAACTTTTGGTATGAACGTCAATAAATGACTTCAAAATTCTTTTGAAAGATGTCTCTGAAGGAGTCAGAGTCAGACGGAAAAACGTGTTTTCCCGTCTGACACCTATTAACGCTCAGACCGAAATTTCCTGCTCTACTAGCTAGTAGATCTTGTAGTTAATCAGCTGGTGTAATCAACTGGGGGAAAACTAATACTTACTTGGCAATAAACAACACTTTAAACTATAAGCAACACGTCTACAAGATAAAATACTTGATCCCATCAATTTATAGTTAGAATTTCTAAAATTGCTACGTTTATGTCGTTCTTAACAGTAGCTACTGACAGGAAAAGTGCTTGCTTTTAAAATTTAACGGTAATTTTAAAAACGTACATTTGTACATTCATAACTACTCAATTCATAGCATGTTCGTAGCTAAAAATTTCAAAAATGCAGTCTGCTGTCTGTTGAGTTTATCATTTCAGCTTATCAGTCAATCAGTTTACGTCCGCTACTCTAACCATAATGAAAAGTAGTACTTAGTAAGCCAGTAATAACAAACTACCTGAATCTCCAAATCCAGGTACTCTCCCAAATGGACAACCAAATGTACGGAATGAAATACTTCACACCACTCGAGAAGATCGTTCACGCTTTTCATATGGAAGAAATGTGGACAATGATTCATCATGAATACATGAGACTTCAATCAAATCCCCCATCGAAAGAAGTTTGTGAATGCGCGATGGATGTTGAAGGGAATGGAGTTCTCTCAATGCTTCGATTTGTTGCATTCACTTTTCGAGAACCAGAAGCTGTCCTGGGATTGGATAAGACGAGAAATCGAGTGAAGAGAGGTGCTCATCATGGGGATATGGAAGAGAAGTGAGTTGAAAGAAACAACGAGATACACTATGCATTAGCGTTGACCCAGTAGCTCTAGCTGTTTCATAAATCTTTTTCTGGCTTCCTCAAAAGTCAAACATATCTTTAGCTCTTTGAAGCAATTTTTGACAAAGTTTTTTTACTCCATTAGCTTTAATTTTCCAAATTTTATTCATTTGTGAAAAGAACTTTTGATTAAAACAGTTTTTAAAGGCTCAAATTTTGTTAACAACTGACTAACTGGTTCAAAGCTTGTTAAACCATTGAAAAGTTTCCTAACTAGAAGGCTTAAGCTAAAAAACATTCAATTTTTAGTGCTCTGGCTGAAAAATCCCCGAAATCACCCGGAACAATGCCCCCATTGATCAACTCAAAAGCATGGGCTGAATGGGTGACTATGTTGTCGCCAATGGAAATGAGCGAGCACTTTGACACGGCCATTTTCTTATTCTGTGCTCTCAATTGACCCTTTTAGCAATGATTCTGTGTTGTTTATCTTTCATTGAAACATTTTTTGTACAAAGCTCTTTTTGAGTCAGAATTTCACCAAAATCTGTTTTAAAACGGACTTCTGTTAGCGCTCGAGGTTTTCATAAACTGGGATTTCATTTCAGAAACACCTCAGACTGGCATTTCACACAGATTTTGAAAACAGAAATGTCACAGAAAACAGAAAACAGAAATGTCTATAATCAGAAAAAATTATGCTCTTTCTAGGCTACTGAAAGCTTGAATGATAGCCAGAATCTTCGAATAGACACCGGTGATGATGGCAAAGAAACCAAAGCAAACGAGAAAAACGTTTAACAAGTTTTGAGGGCCATTTGTCGACGGAGCATCGTGAATTTAAGAGTTATTAGGTCAAAGAACTGATCAACAACTTTCCATTCCTCTCAAAAAGTGGCGATTTCAAAGAGTGCTGGGGAAACGAGGGCACAAAGGATGCCCGAGGTGACCCGCCAGCCACAGTCTTAACTTTTTCCAGATTCGAACCACAAATGGGATGAAAGCCTGGAAAAGAGTTAAGCAGTACCAATTTACCTAGTAGACGTCAATAGAAAGACAACGAGCCACTTTAAAGTCACAACAATTCTTCCAATTATTGAATAGAGCTTTCAAAATTCAAAAGACCACTTGAACAAGGCAAGACGTGATCTTCCGAAGTGAAAGTTGTCGTCAGATCGGATTTACACTAAAATGACGACAGGAGACTCTCCGGAGATAGAAAACCGTTTTCCGAAATGTTTAGCACAATTTTATCGATTAGTGATAGTTCCCAAGAGTTCTTAACAGTTAAATATCAGATTAAGCATGTACTTTGAGCCTACAAAAGGTCTTGAACAAAACCTATGTACTGATTCTAAATTGGCTTCGATTTAATACTTAAAAAATACTGTCCCAAACACTTGAACAATTACCGTAAATACTGTAATTGGACCCCATGGGGTACTATTTTTTCCCTCCCCCTCTAGGGTGGGGTACTATTAGAGGGTGGGGCACTATTAGAGGGTGGGTTACTATTTTACACCACTATTCAAGATACCAAATCAGGATACATTCAAATAATTTTTTCAAAAGCAAACTTTTTCTTTAGTTTTTATTGGTTTTAACCATTTGAGAATTTAACAGCAAAACGAAACAAAAACAACTAACAAGCGAAATCAATAGAAACATCCGAATCAATGAATTCATATTTTCTTGATCATCAATTCCACGATGTCCTTGAAATCCCGTCGATGCGAGTGGCCCCAAGAGGTCCTCGATTTCCGTCTCTGTCCGATTTCCGTCGCTGATCTCTAACACCAACTTCTTTGGCTCCAACCGCTTCGATGCACTTGCTCGTCGAAGCATCCAGCCAAATCGCCGTCTCATTGCAAGCAACAATGTAATCGCCTTCTTTGATTGTCTTGTTCAGCCTCAGAATGTGCTCGACGATGGCCTTCTCAAATTCGCTCGGCAGCTTTTGACAAGTTGTTGTTGGTGCCCTCAAGGAAAGTTGGTGGCGCCTCAAGAACGACTCCATCCAGCTATGGGTTCTTTTGAAAGAAATTTCAGCTTTTTCGAATCGATTCATGCCAGATAATCGGGCGTGTCACTCGTTTGTTCTCGGCTCGACGATCCCGTATCCATTCAGCCAAACCGATATCAATCCCCTCCGTGTTCAAGTGGCTTCTAAGTGGTTCAAGTCTTCTAAGTCGGCCAATCTTTATGATTTTGGTGTTACTTTGTTGCACTTGTTGAGATCTACAATCATAAAGATTAGCCCACTTAGAAGAAAGTTATGGCGAGCTGCGCAAACAATTTGGCGCAAAGTAGCCCCCCAAATTTAAAAACAACAAATTTATGGGATAAAATTAAAAATACAAACGATTTCTGAAAATACATGAAAATTTTTCGCTTTAAAAGCGTTGTTTGTAATTACGCGTTAGGTGGGTTACTATTAGGGGTGGGGTACTATTAGAGGGGTGGGGTCCAATTACAGTATTTACGGTAGTAAAGTTGTCACATCATTGTCACAATTTTTTGTTATTTCATTTCTAAGTTGATCATTTTCATAACGGCATCACCGCTTGCTGTGCGGCAAACGCCAACTTAAATG